CGTTGCTGACAATTTTGTTTACGGTATTTCTTCTCCTTTCTTCTTTATCGCAGCTTCAGACAAAGACATTGACCGCACTGTTGTCTATCATGCTTTTGTGGAACCCGACGATATCCAAACGAAAAGTGCTAATCTTATTATCGATAGTCATATTTCAGGATGTAGTCTGCGCCGAAACCTGCGACGAACAATGCCCTAACTGTTTGTATATGTTTCTTAAAGACAAACAGACTGTCAGATTAATTACCCTCATTTGATGCTGCTGCGAAATAGCAGTAATGCCCGTTACATTTGAGTCATTTCGATAGTGTTGGTACCTAACATAAACAAAACAATAAAGGCAATTACTGCAAGCGCTAGTCAAATCGATAGTCAAATTTCAGGATGTCGTCTGCGTCGAAACCCCTTGAAGAACAAAATCCTAACTGTTTTTAAATGTTTGCTAAAGACAAGCAGACTGTCAGATTAATTCATCTCATTTGACGATGCTGTAAAAGAAAAGCAGTTATGCCCGTTACATTTGAGTCATTTCGATGATAAACAAAACAATAAAGGCAATTACTGCAAGCGCCAATGATTCATCGAATTATGTTCATTTTGAATTCACTTTTAGTTTTACTCTGTCACTCTCACTTGGCAAGCGTCAAAGACTGCGTCAGACGTTGACACAGTCTTAGGTCAGGCAAAATATGACGCATCTTGTGTAGCGGGTATTAAAGCCCCACTGCACTACTTATAGCTACTTGCGCCCTCTATATAGCAAACATTGCCCAATCGGTGACCAGTGGTCCCCATGATCCTCTTTTTCTTATGTTAATTGAGAGCTTATTGATGAGATAACCACCTGTCAGTGACCATGCAGGGAGGTCTAATCCCTCCTGGCCAAACTAGTGCAGTGGGGATTTAGGACTGATTTTGTATTCCCCTTGGTTGAATCAGAGTTGACAGTACCAACAGTTATGAAATCAGAGTCAGACACGATTTGATTGAACTGATGGTAAATGTGCATTTCTTGCTTGAATTTATGTATACAGTGCGTCCCAGAAAAAAAGAAACCGAGAATTATCGATGTTTTATCATAACTTAATCACAATTATAATTAATAAATGACACATATTTGTAATGCCTATAGATCCACCTTTTTCATTTGATGCAACTCATTTGATGCACATTTCACGCATGCGTGATTAAAATCAATTTGAAGAAAGAGTACCAAAAAGTCATTTGGCAGACGGTATCTGAATTTCAAAGAGAAAAATTACATTTCTAGACAGTCTGTTCATTTTCTGCCCTTTCATATGACACCCATCAGGAAAAATGAGCTAGGAATAACAAAGTTTTGTCTGTTTAAAGTAATGCTTGCATTTCCATAATTTTATTTTAAAAACGAACTCGTTTTCACTGTATATATCTATATATATATATAATTCATTGTAGGTCACCTCTCCCTGACCAGAGACTTATAGAGGCTTCAAAAGGCATCGCGAGAGTCTTATCTGCTCGGCCAATTAGACAATTAATCTGATATCAATTTAGCACATTAATTTTGTTTATCTCTTAAATAGACATGTTTTCCCTGGTATAACCGGTTTTTTGTTATCAGTTACAATCAGAATTAAAACGAATGACCTGTTTTTCATTGCGGTCAGACATGTTGACATGTTGACATGAGATAATCAAAAGTATGGTGAAAACAACAATATTTTGATAATTATTCAATTGGGCATAGGCCTATCTCTCAAGCTCTTCATAAGGAGGCTGTACTACAATTTAGCAATTTTGAATCCATAACTTTAACCCTGAGCCCAACACTATGATCTGACCCTAACCTTAACCCTAAACTTTTGAGGAAATACAGCTCAGAGCAATTATTGCAGGAATAAATGTCGAATCAACCTGACTGAATATAACCTGATAACCACACAAAAACGCGCCTATAATAATCCCATTACCATTACGTCATTGTTCACTTCGTCTTGGTCCGTATAGTGGTCATTTTTGTCGTATTCGGACTTCGAAATGGTCTCATTAACCTCGTATATAGACGAGCAGCTGACCACCGATGAAACATAAATGCGACCGCCAAGAAACCACGACGGAAGCTTTCAATTTTTTAAAATTTAAAATTCGAGATTTTTTTTTTAATGGAAAAAACAAGCTCGTTAAATCCAGCCCGTTTGATAATCATGACCTAACAATTATAGTCATGTTTCCGAGCAGTATATATTTCCTATACGAATGTAGGTATAGTGGCAAAAGCGTTTTTCCAGCTATGTAGGGGCACAGATGTTAGATGGGAGGTAGGGAGGGGGGGGGGTTGGGGCTGCATCAATATTTCTTGATGGATGAAATGCGAAAGAACAAAGCTCTCGATTGCGGAGAATATGTTGGATGGAGTCATAATAGTCGCTTTCATCTCTCCAATACTTTCCCTCTTTTTAAAACTTTTTTTCCATCTTTCGTCATTCTAAAGGAGATATGTGCCCCCTGCCCCTGTATGTACATAGTCAATTATATTCGCTGACACATGTGTCCTTACGTGTTCTGTATGTTTCAGTTTCCATTGATTATTCATCGTTTACGTCATCAGTGACATTCGTCATAATTATTGTCAAAATGAACGCAGTGGCGGCAAAATATTTATATTTCTTTCACACAATCAGAGCAAATTAAAGGTTGGTTGGTTTGTTTATTTTACCTGGCTGCTGACTGCTGACTGTTTAAGTTTCTAAGTAAGCAACCAGTGGACCGACGTCTTTAAGCCTCTCCGAGAGACTTGGTAACGAGGATTAATGCCCTACCAAAGGGCACTAGCGCATCCAATTGGTTTCAAAACCAGGACCAATGCTCTTCCACTGAGCCATCGCGCCTCACAAAGTATTACCATTTTCTTCTTGTTGGTCGTCGTAGCGTCTTAGGTTAACTCCTACCGGCAGATGCAGACGAGCGGGTGACACCTTTTACTTTTTGTTTGATGAAGACTATATAGTCATGACAAATTCAAATATTTGTTTGAGTCACTCTTGTTTATGTTTTCATTAAGCACACTGCTAAATACAAAGTCTACAACTGAGTATAATTACATTTTCACCTCACATTCTTCGAGTGGAGGTGTTAAATGGACATGGCTTTCGTTGGGTGATTAGCGTCGGCAGAAGCATAAAGATTACTTTACAGTAATTAAACCACCGTCTCTCGTTTCTTTACTTATGTAATTTGTTTAAAATTAACTTTTATCTGTGCGCAATCTTTTTTGCAGGAGGCCCTTATCTATGATGAGGCCATTCTCCTTTCTCTATGATTTTGTACCCTTTCCCTATACTTCATTGATTTTGTGTCATGCAGTGTATAGCTAAATTGATCTTTGAATATTATATAGTATTCGAAATTGAATTCATAGTAAGATACTGCATTCAAAATCAGATAATATTGTAAGTCGCAATTAATGAACTAACATGACTAGTCTAGTATAGCGGAGGTGCGAGTATTTTTTGGTGTTGTTGGTTGTTTGTTTTGTTTTGTTTTGCTTTATTTTGTTAATTTAAAAAAAAGTATATTTCTTCTTCTTCTTCTTCTCTTTTTTTTTTTGGGAGGGGGGGGGGGCGGGGGGGGGGGGGTGAAATGCTTATGATTAATGACATCGAATGGGGAAGGTGTAGGGGGGGGGTTCGTATAACCTACTCATACTCCCTTTTCCTCACCTTCTTGATTTCACTCTCCTCATTCCCACACACACACACACACACACACACACACACACTCTCTCTCTCTCTCCCTCTCTCTCTCACCCTCTCTCTCTCTCTCTATCTCGCTCACTCTCTCTCCCTCTCTCTGACATTGGATTGAGGATGGGCCTGTGCACCCGTCGTAGTTATACGCATCTGCTAAAGACAATTTTCTAAGATTTCTCAAAATGGGTTTCACTTTTAAAGAATAAAGTCAAACTGCCGCCCATTGCTACTGAATAGGTTGTCACTTTGTAAGGCATGAAAGAGTTTTGAAGGAAGAACAGTTTTTTTAAAGAACAACCTGATACAAATAATTATTTCCCACATAGGATACAGCTACTTAAGAACACCTTGGCTGGGCCAGTCAGCTGGCTGCATAAGGTACTATCTGTTCCCATCAACACACCCCTTAGAGATTAACCTTAATCCCCACAAGACGGGATTAGACAATCGCCATGTAGGATCTACAAGAATATGGTTAAATATTATCGAAGCACCGCCACCGTTAATTGTTTGTTACGAGAATATGAGTTTCTGCATGAGGAAGGAGACTGTTAATGGTTATGTATTATCATGTTAATTACAAAACAAATATCACTGAATAAAAGAATAATAATCTCCTATTAATACAGAAATTATAAGATATTAACAAACCTGATGAGTTTGTTTTCTTTTTGCAATCGATCAAATGTAATAGGCCTAGTGTTAAAAAAATAGGATATCTTTGAAAAAATGTAAAGGGAGAAAAAGTGAAAGAAAGAGAGAGAATGACGGAGGAGGGGGGAATGTTGATTTATATTAGAAAATCGAATTTCATATACTTTAGGTTCTGTAATTTCTATCAAACATTTTTGGGTCCATCTCTCTCTCTCTCTCTCTCTCTCTCTCTCTCTCTTAATTCTTCCCTTCTCATTCTTTCGTTGTCCCTTTTTAAACTTTTCTTTCTAATAAGAAATATTCTACTCTTCATCCACCCCTTTATTTGTCATTTTGTTTTGTTCTCACCTACATTTTGTTCTCACTCATGCTCAGTCGCTTTTCATTACACACTAATGACCAAGGCGCTGCGCGTCCGCCTTGCAGCAGCCAGGCCAAACCAAGTGACAGAATATTATTAGGATGAGAGGGGTTTAAAAATAAAGCTGTGACAGCTTTCGGTAATATGGTAATATCCGGTAACTCGACCGAGCTCTCTCCTCTTCAAATATATATCCCGATCTTGCCCTGGCGGTGCTGCCAGTTTTTCCGCCGCTCGCTGCTAAAGAAGAGCGCACGGCAATCAGATCTCTTCGCCAGTTTACGAAGTTTATATTATGCCGCAGAAAGTTCTCAGACAGTTGTCTGCTCAAGTGCCAGAGAGCACACACGCTTTCCGCCAATAGAACTCTCACTCTTTTCACACAGGCGCTGATGAAAGGCGCCTTAGAGATCGTCTGCATACTTTTGCACCTGAAAAGGATCCACACGCATGCGCGACTTTGTCTGTGTGTTCGCTCCGTTCGTTACTCGGTTTTGTTATCTGAGTTCAACCATCGGGCGAATGATATTGAGAGCGCGTGAGGGGGAGAGAAAGGTCGCACTTTGGTTTTGAAGCTTGCTCGGATCAGTCGTTCTTGTGCGGCTGAAGTTAACAGTGATATTTAGGGATTCAGAGTCCAGGATTGTGGAAATAATGATCGCAGCCTTCCTCTTGGAACTTATTTCTTGGAGCTAATACATTATTGTTTATACTTTGAAACAACTAAACTGTACTGATATGTGAGTATACTTCAAAATTCTATTCTTTCGTCTGATCTTTATTTGTACCTTTTATTATTGTAAGAGCTTACCTTGTTCATATATTCTTTGCTATTGAATTGTTTGTCCCTTTCTTACTAGGTGATTTTATCCTTACATTGTCATCGTATGTTCGTATTATATTGCATGGCATGGTATTTCTTTTCCAAATCACAATAAGAAACAATACACATACAATAGAAAAGTACATATAATAAAATCAAGAGTATATTAAATGGTTGGGTAGCAAACTCAGCTTTGTTAACTTGATAAAAGTTAGCTTAAACTAGAAATACGAAGCAATATTTTGCCAGTGTTTCGTTGCAAGCTGGTGGAAAAATAATGTCAAGCACTGCTACAAGATAAGTCTATTATCATTTCTTACTTATATGATACTTATAACCTTGTGGCGCATTCATCATACAATTGTTAGCATATTTTATATTTTTTTTAAATAAACACTGCAAGTATACAATTTGACGTGAATGTGAAGTAGTATTATCACAGCTCATCAAGCGTTAATAGAACAGCAGGAACATGTTGATATTTTCTTTCATTCGCTAAGTACTGTTGTATATTCTCCCGCTGTTAGGTTTATACACTGCTTTATTTTTCGAACATGTTGAAATGATTGTATTATTTTGAATAACTTTGAGTAACTTTCCCCTGTATATAAATTTATGTATGTTTTTTTCTTCTTCAGTTTGTCTATTTTCCGTCAACCGCCGCACGACTATTTTTTATTCAGATATCATTATATATATATATATATATATATATATATATATATATATATATAATATAAAAAAAAATATATATATATCTGTTAATATTGTATATACATACACCGTTTTATTATGTCAATTCAGACAGCATAACCTTTCAAGCCCAACCTATATCACTTCAGGCAAAAACACCTGTCCGTCATAATATCATAACACATATAGAATCGAGATGGAATATCAGAGATAGTGTGTGGGAGATCTGGGAACAGAAATAGTCTACAATTTCGCTGACAAATATAGAAGATAACTCTCCCTTTTGCTCTTTATTCAATCAGCCTACGTGTTTTCATCTTTACTTTAGCATGTTTTAGTTTTGCGTCTTTTCACCTGTGCAATGCCTCTCTTTTTGATGCACGAGTATAACTTGCCATGCCTAAAACACTTAAACTGGTCACTGCAGATTATGCTATATATAACTTTCAGTTATTAAGCTGGTATTATTTTGGCATCTACTCACCTGTGCAATGCCTCACTTTTTGTACACGAGTATAACTTGCAATGCCTAAACAATTCCACTGCGCATTGTATACTATATGCTATTTATACACTGGTAATGTAATACTCGTAGTTGTAAATCAGAATTAAACATAATCTCCAAAATGCCATCCTTTTAACTATTTATTTGTTTATGATAAATTTATCAATCGATCTCACATGCACTTGCTTCGCCCAGTACAAGAGGGGCTTCTGTGTGGTACATACATGGGCAGCTTTTGTGATGAGCAAAATAGCTTCGTTGCACATTCGGAATTGTTCATAAATGAAACCACCTGTGAATTTAAAGCGAGCAGTAACCTTTTAAACTCCCCTCTCTTTCTGGCCATCAACCTACATCTCATCGAAAGTAAACAAAGGTCACCAAACTCGATCAAAGCCACATTTTGACGGGGAAAACCCGAAAATCATTTTTGTTTACATCTCGGATCTGAGTAGAAGATTGCCATTGATGCGAGGGGGATATTGAGCGGGCTTAATAAACCTCGCTGACCCACGAACTTGTCAACTTTCAGCTCCGTTTTGAGAGGTAAATGACTCAACATGTTTGACGTGAATACTACATTTTCTAAAGAGGTTTATATTTTAGGGGACCGGGGGGGGGGGGTACCCTCTATAGGCCTACGTCAATTGTTTCGCTCTGTCTGGCAGATATAATCTGACAGTTTTACGACTGAAGTAATGTCATAATGAATTATTTCGATGCAGATGTATGCCTATAATGACAACGCAGTCGCATTGTTTCACGAGCTAATATTATTTTTTTAATGTGACATCATGTATTCTTGCCAAGTGATGTGTTAGTTTCTGTTTGTTTGCAAGTGCATATAGCCCTTTAATCCGACTTACAGTTTAATTATGCGACCACGAAAGTATTTCTTTAAATAGATTACCAGAATGTAATAAAAAGCTACCAAAGGGAATAAACTTTATTTTTTGGGGGAAAATGTAAAAATAACACATACATTCAAATTGCTTATACATGGGATGGACATGTGTTAAACGAATGGCTACACAATAAATACACACCTTAAAGACAGAAAACGTTTTGAAACATATATATTAATATAAACGGAAGCCCGTCTTTAACGTAGCCGGTTCTAGTTTTAACGTCTTTTGACTGCCATAATGTTGGAGTCGTTTCTCTTAAAACCGATTGTCATCAATAACGAGTATTACCGTCAATTGTTGTGAAATCGGAAATCTTACAGGGGCTACTTTCCAATCGATGTCATATTTTTCCCCAAGGTAATCCATCACGATTTCACCTCCCTCATCTCTCATTCCGCTATTTTTAGAAAAAGTAAGAAAACGTAATAAACAGTTATTTTCATTCCCAAAATGTGCACATATCCTGTCTTGCACTGGGAGAAAATTGAATTGCTTTACCCTCGAAGCTTAACCTATCTTTCACGAGGAAAACATTAATTGATTATCCCACGTGTCATTTCATCGAGACTTTAACTTGATTATGAAAACAAATTTGCCGCTTTCGCCAATTAAACGACCTTGCTAAGTATCAAAACTAAGAATATGGAAAATACATTACATTTCGTACTTTCGTGGGGTGAAAATGTATTTGTCTATACATTGCAGCTACAGCAGTAAGCTGAACAATCTTTGTACACAAAATTATTTGCTTTAAACGGACTCTGAATATCTCCAGGACTTTTACCGATCCAAGCGCTTCTGTCTTTGATATCCGCATTCAAATTTCTTCCTGACTTCAATTTTTATCATCCTCTTCGCTATGTGTAATTTATTTGTCAATCGAGTTGTCCGTCATTATAGCTTGACACGTTTTCCTTATGCATTTATGGTGGTATGATCCACATGCTGTTACAAAATGGTTCAATAGTTCATTTGATATTGCATACAGTAAGTATTAAGTAAAATTAAGCACTTCCGTTGATTTTTTGGGGAAATGAATATAAATCGTCTTTGTGTACTTCATAAATCTATAGGAAATAGTCTCCTAGACAATACTCCTTTCCCATCGTAGAGTATGGACGATATTAATGTTATGTACCAATGTCAGTCTCACTTATGGCACCTGCAGGACCCTGTTTGTTTTGGTATCCAAGAAAAACTTGATGAAAAAAAAAACTGCAATAGGTAAGGCAAGCACCCAGGTAAAACATAGCCCCTTGTTGAACCTGCCCAACATGTAACTATATCCCGAAACATGCTGCATGTGGTGGATTGTTTCCATTGCCAGCTGATTGCTGGGGCCCGTAACGCAAAGGTTTGCAATCAATTAAATGTCAATTGCAAATTTAATACGACGGTTCTGATTGGTATATGATCAGCCTTTTGAACAATATGTGCATGCAGCGATGCTCTTGATTGGCTACTGTCATTTTGTAGTTGATTGCAAACCATTGTGTTACGGGGCTGATCCAACACGGCCTACCTCGTATCTCTCCTTCCAAAATGTACATGTACATTCTGCGCACGTTTGGGTCATAAACATGCAAGTGCAGGTTATTTCTATTTACTCCCACTGGATGTACATCAATGTCTATTGCTCACGATGCGTCAATTCCCTGACGTATAGGACTGCGTCAACGACTAGGCTTTGACGCACCTTGTAAAAATGGCATCCGTTTCACGTGTGCAACGGGTATTACAGAAGAAGTTCGACTTTGTTACGAAAACAAAAATGAAAGCCGTGCGAACGCGTTCCTAATCGCCATTCAATACTGCGATAATGAGATTGACGTTACCGCTTGACTTTTCATAATTTCCGACAGACATGGAAATTTCAAACTACAGCCTCGGGCATGCTTTTAACGTTAAAGCCTGAGTTTTCATGTTCCCCTTATACATACAGTCATGTAGATTCAGTATGTTGGAATACTGTTTTGAAACACTGCGACGTAGCCGACTGAATGTATTCGTCCAATGAACATCACTGTGATGAAAAAGGAAAAGGAAAAAAGGAATTATCATACTTTTAATGCCTAAGACATTTTTGTTTCTAGGTTTTGCTGTATGAAACGAAATAGATTTAATTATAAACAGATGAACTCATGGCCAAAAACTGCAGTTTGTCAACCTTATTTTGATTGTAAAATCTACCTGTCTTTAAAGGATAATATATGTTAAAATAAAGCCGAAAAAGTAAAAGACCTAAAAACATACGATGTTAGTGTGTGTATATATATATTTAACATTATTGCTTTCTATTCATTCCAATGCATACATGTTGTTGCAAGAGAACATGGTCACAACTTCGTATTGGATTAAGATCTTATCCACGCTCTCCACTGCTAACGTATATTAATTTTACACTAGGGACTATATTACTAATGTCCTAGTGCTTTCAATTTCTCTACGAACATTATGAAGGCCAGCATGACCTGTTTTTATCTTATTGCAGCCACGTCATTCATAACTACTGTAATTAGCAGTGAGTCTTATAGATTTCACATAATTTTAATTAGTTATTTACTTTTATTTCGAATGAATTCTATGGCTGTTGTTAATTAAAGCTAAGCAGAAAATACATACAGAATTGATAATTGGTTCGCTCAAACATTTAAATGGATGGGAGGGGGAGGAGATTGTGTTGGACGAAATTTGCCGAAAAGTTTCACGGCAGGAAATGAGAATAATTTCCTAACAGAGGTTAACATTTTCTAATATTGTACACTATAGCAACGCTCATGCTTAAATTTAGTTTTCAGGTGAATATGACTATTTCCACGAAGGAGTTATATAAAATTCACATCATTTGCCGACATTTGTGGTGATTCGTAGAGTTCATTCCCAAGGTAATTAGTTTCCCTTCACTAGTCGTTTAATCCACCTCGTCTCTTAAAAACGTGATCTATTACGAAAACAAAACGAAAAATTACACAAAACAGTACGTGTGGGGGCCCTAGCATTCTGTACAGTAATCCATGAAGCATGTGTTTTTTGCCGTTGTAGATTTTCCTTAAGATTCTCAGAGGAAAATGTGTCGAAAGACTGGGGAAAATGTCAAGGAAAGATATCAGATACATGAGAACAATTTCCAACCGTTTTTTGTTGTCATCCCCAATAGTTTCCTCGACTTTCACGGGAGCGGTATGGCAGACATTAGTAACTTTCTAAAGGATATTTGTAAAAATATGTTTAACTGCAGTTGTCATTCTTCATGAACCATGCATGTATATTGTGCTTTATGTAATGTAAGTAGATTTGTCAGATCTTCAGAAGAGTACTACAGTTTGTTGGTTTAATAGAAAATAGTTATAATCTTGTGAAACTATACGAAGTCAAGCTGTGTTTATATGATGCTACCCCCCCCCCCCATATGTCAAAATTTGAACATGCTCTAAATTAAAAAAAATCTTTTTAATCTGTATCACTTTCTTATATGTTCCTGCGTTGTTCTTGACATGTCTATTTAACTATTTCCCATGTTGTCTACAAAACTATACATTTGACCCTGTCTCTGTTTCGGAATGTTCCTCCTTATTTCCCCTCTCCTCTGCCTTGCTTCTCTCTCTCTCTATTTTCCTATTATTCTCTCTTTCTCTCACTCAATCTCATTTTCTCTGTACTCGTATGTATGCCTGTTTATCTATATCTTTTTCTCTATCTAGTCTGTCTCTCTTTATTTTACATTTGTATTCGATTATGTGTGTGTGTGTGTGTGTGTGTGTATTGGGTTTTTACAGACGTGTATCAATCAGATATGATTATTTAAGTCTGGGACCGACCTTTAAACGTCACCATCCGAAAGACGTGACTCAGTTTCGAACCTGCGTCCTCGGCTGAATCAGTTTGTAACTTCCACTTTTTAGCTGGATTACAGGCGCACGCCACAACGCCTAGTTTCGATTATGTTCGTTTCTAATGGTGCTATCTACTGCAGCTTTTGCACAATCAAAATGGTTTGTAAATGAAACCACGTGTGAAATTAAAGCGAGCAAAAAAACATGACGTCACAGCATGTAACTAAGCCGCAGTCACTACCTACCACATTTCAATAATCTCAGAAGATTGTTAAACATGAATATTCGTTGATAAAACAGGACGTCGAACCCAATACAAAAAGCCCTCCAATCAATCACTAAATGAACATATGGTACATTATCCTTTCCCCTTTTCCCACTTTTTCTTGTCGTTTCTTCTTCTTCATTTTGTTTAATTCTTCTTTATTTCTGCCAGTCATTGCTCACTGATCTTATTATCAGTAGGACGAATTATCGACCTGAGCAGTATGTTCGAATGTCAGGCTAAAAAGCTCTAAATCACGGTTGCCTACGGAAGCCACATGGTCTCCAGTGTCTCTTGTTAAGCACGGTGTTTGCCTTTGGAAACCGATTAATGTATGACTCAAAACATTCACGTCGAAAGGGTTCTCGATACCAGACCTGCTCGATACCAATTAAGCGAAATTCGGTTGGAGAACTGGAATTGGAAACGTTTCCCCTTCAATGTGTCGAATAAATGGAATTGAAATTAAAGTTTGTCACGTTGAAGTTGATACAAAGTAATATATGGAATATGACTTTTTATCATAGGATGTGAAGCGAATGCTGGGAACTATTACGTGTAGTTATCTATTCGTTCATTTAAAGCTTATCTGCCATAGTTTACAGGAGGGATTAGAGCGCTCTGCAAGGTCACTGGACAGGTGGTTATCTCATCAACTCAGCTCTCAGTTAACATAAGAAAAAGAGGATCATGGGGGACCAATGGTCACCGATTAGGCTTTGGTTGTTATATAGAGGGCGCAAGTAGCTACAAGTAGTGCAGTGGGCCTTTAAAGATTCATCTCATTCCTAAGGTTTCCCATTGTAATCGTTTCATGTATATACTACAGAGTAAGCATAAATTACGATCATGAAATTTACGCCAGTTCTTGGAAAGTGTATTGTTTTTGACAGTTTGTGCTTTTATGCCGAGATTGATACTGCTCTATTGTTGTTGTTCATTATCATTATTATTTTTATTAATTATTATTATGGGGCCTATCTTTATTAATATCATTATTATAATTATTAATATCAACATTTCTCTTTCTTATACTATCATTTTCATTATTATTATGATAATAATTATTATTATTACTATTACTATTGATTATTATATATTATTTCTTGTGAACTATTTTTTAAACCACCTATCACATATTGACATCCATTTTGTTTGTATTCTATCCTTGTAGATCCTCTGTCATCATGAAGTACACGACGTCAACGATGAGCGCTATGCTCTTGATCGTCTTCCTTGTCCTATGCCAAGTACTTGATCCCACCGCTGCCGTCGGTTGTATCCGACCACCGTCCTGCGACACCGATGAGGAGGCCGGCTTTGCCAGCATGCTCTGTGGTCAGCGACGTCTGAACTGCATTCCCCAGGAGCAGCACCACGCGCGCTTCCTGGACATGCACGGCAACAGGCTCACCAACCTCCTGCAGGACGCCTTCAGGCAATTCTACAACCTTGAGAGACTCGATCTGAGCTCGAACGAGATTGCCTCCATCACACCCGGGGCATTTTCGGGACTTCACAACCTCACGAGTCTGATCCTGAAGAGCAACAGGATCGAGAGCATCAGCGCCAGTACTTTCTCGGGTGCAGCCAAGTTGGAGACCCTGGACCTGTCCAGGAACAACATCTCCAGGATCACGGTTGGAGCGTTTAATGGTCTGAGCCAACTCAGGACGCTGTACCTCAATGAGAACCAATTGATGTGGTTAAGACCTGGTATGCTTCAGGGTCTCCCAAGACTAGCCCTCTTATCCATCCACAGCAATGGTATAAGCACCGTCGATGCAGCGGCCTTCCGAGGACTTACCCATCTCCGTGCTCTCCAACTGAACAACAACCACATCGCCACCATGGGCAACATCTTCGTATCCTTGCCATCACTGTCCACTTTATGGATCGGTGAGAACCCGCTAGAGTGTGACTGTCGGGTGGAGTTCCTCAGGAGGCTTTTAGTGCCACAACAGGCTGGTGCTGGTCTCCTGGCTGTAAGACACCCGGTGATCTGCAGTGGGCCTAATGTCATGAGGGGTCTCGATATGCGGTACGTCAAGGATGCTCTCCAATGCACCAAGCCAATCTTCAAGAGGGTAAGTTCACACAATGTATTCATAACACGTAGCGTCCATTGCACACGGGGCGTCATTGTAATGGCGTTAGTACCTGCGCTAATAAAGCCTGTCAAGGCAATCAGCCCTTACGCAAGTAATTACATTTTTTAACGACGTTACCCTCATATGGCGCATCGAAGACCGCTAGTTGGTGACGCAGTCGTATGTCACGCTAGTGTCGCCTCGTCGCCTCGATGGGCGTAATGTTATTTATTCCATTGCTGTATAGAAACTGCAATTTACTTGTGAGAAGGTAGGATTAACCTAAGATTGAGGGCGGGAGGCCATTTTGTTTGTTGTTATTTGCCTATCTCATATTACGCCAGACTATAAATCCACGGAAACCTCATAATCCAACTAACGCTTGAAGAATTGACAGAGATGTCTGCACAGATTCATATAGGGTATAGAAGAGAAGCATGAAGTAAAAGAGACAATCCCGCATCATCACCGAGCAACCACTACGCCTAGACCAATTACCAGCTTTCTCAGGCAATTAGCGCCTCTCGCTAACTGTTGCCTAACGGCTTCAACATAGTGGCAGCATTCGTAGGAAAACTCCAATTCATATTGATAATTCAAAATTAAGTTATCACTCTTCCCCCTCCTCAAGCGGAGATCATATGTACGTTAGAAACATGAAAGACCTGGCCGCCGAACGGGGTTATCAGTACTTCCGGGGTCGGGTTGTGTTTCCGGTTCGGGCCTGGGGATAGTCATACCATTCCTTCAGCACGGCGGGATAGTAATCTTCCCCTATATTTTGTTGAATGAATGAATGAAATCGACTCTTACCTGGGCAATGACCAAAGCATTCCCCAAGAATTCATTTCCCAGAAATATGCCCGATATCTGGGGATCTGAAAGATATGACCTAGATTCGCGCACCTGAATTTACAGGATATTGAAATACAGGATGTTTATTTTGTACGTTTGACTGGAGTCCCGCTGCGTGGTCAATTTGACAGTTAATTGCGCTTTTCCGAAACAATTTGCTCTCTCTATATTTTTAGTTATCATAATATTTCTTAACCCATTCATCTTTAGAAATATTACAAATATTGATACTGATAATGTATGTCTGCCCTTTAATGTAGGGTCCTTTTAGTAGCGTTGCTATTTAAGTTTTGCCCCCATTCGCATTACTAGTATTATCTGTAAAGCGCTTAGAGACATTAATTAAGCGTTATATAAAAGCGGAATTTTATTATTATTATTTATTATTATATTCATATATGATCAAGAGGGGCATATCAATTTTCTTATTGCTGCAAAATTTGATAAAGTTGTTCTCTATTTTATACACACTTTATCCGTGGAATATTGTATCGGCGAATGACGAAAGTCACAATGTATTAGCACTGTTCTCGTGAAGTCAGTTGTTCTTGCGTACTATTATCATTATCATTATTGAGTTTAACTATGCTGTTCCAACTAAACGTATTACCATCAATCACCTACACTGGATCCTAACACAAAGCTCAGTTTAAATCAAATGCTATTTGCATCAACCCATCTCTTTTCCTTGTTCAAAACACCAAAAGAGATTATATCATTTAAAAAAATCTGAAGCAACCGCATGCGATCTAAAATATAATACATTTTCAACAAAAAGATTATGTTAAAGTCCGATGCAACACACAAGCTATTTAAAAGATGGTACAGGTTAGGTTTATCATGCAAGCCCTGGATTTGAGAGTTTGTAAACAGAATACTTTCCGGCAGTTGGTGGTAGTCCCTCGGATTTGCCCTCGAAAATCCTCCCGCCTACATGTATATCCTCCCTTTTTCATTGCGCTTAAAGCCCCTCAAAAGTGATGGGAGCCCCAACAATTTGATGGCAAAATTTCACTTAAACTGTAACATAAAGTGAAATAGGATGTCATTCAAGACACATTTCTGCAAGGATTTTCAAAACAAATGTGTTTGAAGTTGAATATTGATAAAGGAATACAAAATTTGATCTTCTACGTACAACAGAAAACCCATATTATGTTTTCTTTTAACAATATTTGTCTCCAAACGCTTTTTTTGTGTGTCTTAAATAACATCCACTTTCACATTATAATACAATTAAAGTGAAATTTTGCCTTCAAGTTTTTGGAAATTTGGAGCTCCCGACACTTTTTAGGGGGGCTTTAAAAATTCATTACCATCCCAGCTTTTCGTTGATCCCCTTCAAGCGCACGACCTGACAGCTTTCGGTTCGAATTTCCATGTCGGGGTGCGATGAAGAGAAAAAAAACGAGGCTCCTTGGGCAACACCCCTCTCCCTTGTTAATCTCTCCGGAACATCTCCTACACCCCTTTAAAGGGGGCAGGCAGTTTTAAATGAGCTCAAGGCTCGATAATCAGCAAATGAATAGACGATTTCAGTAGAAACTGTTTCGTGAGTAGAAAAAATGTATTCCGGGGGCAGGCAAGCAAGGCATGCCAAAAGAAATGAAATTGACGATAGCTCAGAGAAAGAGAGATTGGAAAAAAATAGAGCATTCATTAAGCTGGACCATGGAGTATCACATTTGAATATCACGAACTTGAATCTTTGCGAGATGAATAAATTATAGCCTTCCTTAAAGCCCTTCGTAAATCTTTGAATCTATTAATGTGAGAACAAAACAAAAAGTATAGCATATGTAACTAAATTGAAATAAAACGTTTCTATTCCAGTTAAGATTGAATAATTTCGACATCTAAGCAGTGGATTCTCAATTTTAGATGTAGTGTACTGATGAAACTATGAAGAATGATAAAGAAGAAAATTGCTCGTATAGTTTGTTGCTGCTCCGTAATAAATTAATGTACCCAACAATAAAACTTTTTTGTACATAACCTGGGTGATATCATATCTCTTAGTGTCCATTTACACTGAAAGTATGAACATAATTACTCTGCGCCTATGAATATCCATTACTACAACTGAAAGTGTGAAAGGCCCCATTTCTTTCTTCACATTTGGCAGTATTACAACTAAGAAAGTGGATTTTAAAACCCACTCAAATGGTGAATGGGGGGGGGGGGGAGTGGGAGAGCGGAAATGAATTATGATTTCTCTGAACCATAAGGGAATTTCAGAATTAATTTGGAATATTATTAAAATAGACAAATCAAGGTTAAGGGTAGGTGGTTTCAAGATTCACAAGCTATTATCATAAATCCATCACTGTTTCGTTTACTTGAACTCTGCCTGTCTGCAAACTTGGCCTCGTGATTAATAAGAATTTTACTTTCAAGAGGAATTATAAATGGTGATGATTGATGATAATGATGATCATATAATGATACTCAGTGGCGGAGGGGGGGGGGGCGATAAAAGAAGAACTTTAGAACTGATTGTCCTCCCTGCCAAAGAATCCTGGACCTACTACCGATAGTAATAATAATAACACCACTACTGCTAATGATAATGATGATGATGATGATAATAATAACAACAACAACAACAGCAATAATAATAATTAATAATATTAATATCAATGATAGTAATATAGAATAACAAATAAAGGAAATAAATTAACCCGGTGTTATTTTCCGAATATACTACCAAACAGTATCAATTCTAACTTTTAATGATCAAGGAATAGAGATGGTAAAATTGATTATGAATACTTGGAGCAGGGCTTAATTAAATCCATATTATCGGCTTTGATATTATACATCTTCAGACGTGGCCTATAGAAACTATAATGTTTATACATGAATATTATGTAAAGGCGTTCTAATGTTGTAATACTTAAAAAAAAAAAAAAATCCCCTTCCACAGGGTTCTTTATTTTCAAAACAAATTTCATCATATACAGAACATCCATATATCATATACAAATAATTAAAGAAATAATTTCCATACATAATGGCTTGACACAGATAATAATCATCACGGCCAAAAACTTTTGTGGCAGATAAAAACAAACATTTATGACAAAATTAGTACTTTAAATATATAATTTTAAAAAAAAATACCAAACATAAAATACATGATCACGTTTATGTTAGCACATTTCCAACACTCTCAAAATATTTTCTAAAGTGAAACCATTTCTTTTTTAGTTTTTTAGTTGTAATACTTACGCTTCTAAACTGTATTCCAATGTCTTACATTTTTGTATGGTAAAGAACAGGAAGCATCACACGTGTCTCTCACATATCTTCTCTAATTAATCACAAACCTGACACGCATTGCCTTGGAAAATCCTTAAACAGTCTATTACCACGACAACCAACAGAATGGGGGCAGCATGCCAAAGTTATTAATAACATTCGCACCGTGAGAATCATCTAAATACAGCTCGAATCAAAAGAGAAGAGTTGGCGCATATGTTAGGCACACGACGAGCTATCAGGACGTGAATAGGAAGTCCCACTGCCTTGTGTTCCTACCTTTGATGAAATTACTGCTATTTTGAGTGAAGGTTAATTATCATTGAAGCCATTGCAGGGGGAGACACTTGCTTAGTTTTCGCTAGCACGAGAGAGAAAGAAGAATAATCTCGAGGTAAAAAAATAATTGAAAGATATATGTCTTCATTTGCCAAAAATTGTACACTAAAACATCAACAAGTCAATGTTGCGCGTTTTTTACAAAAATATAAGAATAATATTGAAATATAATCATAATATTGACACAACAAATCTTTTAAAACTACAGTAAAAACATTGCATCAAATGAGTCGATGGCAAGGGGAAAAATACCATCGACGTGAAAATTGTGAAAGCCAAGGACGCTTTTTTGTTGCTTATGTTTAAACATATTCGGCAAAGTCATGGTAAATTGTGTCCAACGTTGCCCTTTCACAGTTTTCAGTGCATTGTGGTATCATTATTATATTCAATTTTGAGCGTCAGCAAAGGGTTTGCAGATGGTATATTGACCCCTACATCTTTTTCTTTCTCTTTCTCTACAGGAAAGGTTCCAGTATCTTATTGCCAAAGGACAGGACATCTCAATGACATGCGATGCTTCAGGTATCCCTCTCCCGGCCTTGTCCTGGGTGAGCCCTAGGGGAGAACCCATCCCCTCCATCACAGCCAGTACAGCCAACCTGAACTACGCCCATGCCCCTCGCATCAGCGTCCGAAGCGATGGGTCTCTCAACATCCGCCACGCCCAGCTCAATGACGGTGGCAACTACACCTGCCTGGCACAGAACCCCGGTGGTCAAGCAATGGCCGAAATTCGAGTCACCGTGGTCAACGAACTCCCAAAGCCAACCCTTGATGCTCCAAGGAAAACGACCCCAGATATGTGGCCCAATGGTGGCGGTGACCCTGCGGGCAACGAACCATTGGGAGGTTGGCCGAAGCAGGAGCGTCCACCGTTCGCGTGCATACCGGAGCGATCCCGGGCGTGTGATTCTGCAACAGGTGTGGTCGTAACGGCCATCGTGACTTTTCTGACGACCCTTATAACCTGCGTGGTCGTCTTTTACCTTTGGTATCGTAAGCAAACAGCCAAGATCCACTTCGCTTCATCGCCAATCCCGAAGACGCAGGGACCCCTCAACAATCAGTCATCGATGAAACCGACACTTCGCCGCTTTATTAACGCCATCTCGAACCCTGCACACCTGTACGCCAAGCCCAAGCCCACGAAAAAGCAGCGCCAGGCCGGGTTCACCTTTCACAAATCCAGCAACAAAGCGGACGAGGCATGCAGACACATTATAGCCCCGCTGACAGAAAAGCCGTCTATTCTCAGTCAAGGCATTCCAGAAATGGACGCGCCCCCGCCACCGCCCATGACCGGATTGAACCGGTCACACCCGAAAACAAGTGAACAGAAGAGGTTAAGCGTCGCGCGGGAACTGCTCCAAAACAGCGCCACTATCTCGCGGTCTTCACACCTTTACGAGAACGCGACAGCTTTAAATGATGACCCGAACTACACAGCACTAGATCCTATGACGAGATGTATAGTCAACGACACCTACGTATCTTAGATTAGTTATGACAAGAAAATAGGTATGATTTTATTTATGAAGAACAATCCATATAAGATCACAACATGAAGGATTCTTTTGTCGTTATCTAAGAAAATCGAACAAATCAATGAATGACTATCGTCGCTCATTTCAATTGAGGGAAGTGGCGGATAAAATGGATAGCTAGTATGGTATTTGAATGGATTTCGAAGCCTACTTGTCCTACGAAGACATGAACGAATTGCGGCATTCGTCAAAACGAAATCAAAGTTTTATACATGACCTGGAGAACTTGCAACATTTTAAATTTCAGGTGACTGTTTTTATGAAAGTGAAGGAGAAAGAACTCCATATTTAGTCTCTAGGAACTCAATGGTTGATGGAATGCTTGTGACTAAGCGAATGAGACGGAATACAGTTCAATTTTCAAGGAACTATTTTATGATCATGGCTCTAAACGGCATGCAGGCTATGCATGACAAGCATGTATTTTATCGGTAGAAGTTTGCACCTGAAAAGATATCCACGCTTGGTGGATCCATGCAGGGAAAGGGGGTGGGCGCGGCGCATAATGCGATACTCAAATGCATTTACCCCCACTGTCAGTGTTTGGAGTTGTTTCGAAAAGATATCCATATTTCAAAGAGTTCATCACATTCGGTAGACCCTCAGCTCCCCTACCTCTGCAAACCTATCATTTCTTCCACAGCATGTTTACAACATCAATTATCACCTGTCTGTGACGGACTCCTGCGCATCCACTTTTAACCAGTAATCACCATCTGGACACTACGACATACGTCACCTGGTACATTTCCTTTATTTTCCCTTTCTCCTCCCTCTTCTTCATCCTCCTCTTCCTCTTCTGTTTTTGTCACAAGACGTGAGGTTAATAACCCCTCTACCATTTCAGGCCATGCTTTAATAGAAATGAGCCTCGAATCTTGCAAATTAATGAATTCCGGTCCTCGATATCCGTTGTAGGGTTGGTCCGCAACCAGCCGTAACAAACATGCCTGGATGGTGCTCTGTGAATGCTCTCATACATACGTAATACTTCGGTTAAAAGCATCCAGACCTATTTATGTCCATGGTTGAAAGGGGTTTGTTGTACCATGGACATAAATAGGTCTGGACCAATTTTAATTAACAGGGGGGTATGTATACTTCACACGTAATACTTCTGTAAAAGCATCCAGACCTATTTATGTCCATGGTTGAAAAGGGTTTGATGTACCATGGACATAAACAGGTCTGGATCATTCTAAATAACAGGGGAGTATGTATACTTCAGACGTAATACTCTACTTGAAAGCATCCAGATCTTTTTTTGTCCATCGTTAAAATGGAGCATGTGTACTAAGATGTGATACAGTATATGCCTTAACCCATTTTTATACGAACTATACGATATCACTAGAGGAGTAAAATGATTGCTCGTAAGTTTACACATTAGCAACAAATTTGACGTCATTATAAACAGTGGAAGTCAGATGTCATTGTACAGTGTTTTTCTTTAAACCATGTCACTAAAAGACCTGAAGGTATAGTTACTTATCTCGAAGAGTTATCCACCTGAAGACACTAAGACAGTGTAGAGCGATGTTTTTAAGTTTTGAATAAGTGTGCCTCGAAATAGTTTAGATAAATGAGGAATTGCGATAGGAGAAAAACGGTGCGACAGAAAACGTAAAAGAGAGAGAGAAAAGGTTTAGGGAGCCTTGTTTCTTTTCCTTGCAGTCATGCACGTACTTTTACATGATTATAAATTGGGCGCGCAATTTCAAGAGTGTGACTGACATTTCGTTTCCATGGTTACGAAAAGGGCATCACTTCTGTGCTGTTCTAATGCCCCTAAAGTGAAAAAGAATTGAGCTATTTTATATCTGTACCAAATTTAATAATCTAATTTGTTACCATAAACTATCCCTTGAACCGTAAATCTATGACTGTTTCACAAAGACGTGAGTCCGTATAGTTATGTGAACTACGTCTAATTAATCATCGCTAAAATATCTGTAAAGAAATTGTGTGTGAGATATATATGCAGTATATATATAGTATCGTCATTCGATATAATCTTATTGTCTTCTTTTTCATGTGATCGCTTTGAGTATGTAATTGTGGTGACATTGGTAGTTCCATTTTTCCTAACATAAAGAATGGACTTTGAATCTAAAAATGCTTTTTCAATATCTGTTTATGAATTGTATTACTTGGTCTGCTTGATAAAAGTTCTTGTTAAGGAAATTTTACATTTTTGAAAATTACTAGTTGATTATGTTTCAATTTAAAAAAGGAGAATGAATCTTTCAGCCTATGTCTTTCAGCCTTTTTTAGATTTTAAAAAAGTCATCTTCATGGGGGACAATGAGTAATATGTTTTATTAATGGTTGTATTTATCTTTATTGTACATAAGATGTATAATTCTTTATTTGGTGACCATGTTTGAGACGAAATTTGAAGCTATCAAAAAGTATTTTATTTGTGATTTCTTTTGTTTGTTGTGAAATGTATGTATGATAAAATGTTGACTATGTAAATAGTATTTGTACGTCATGACTTACGTGTAAAATAAAATTCTATGAGCAATAAACGAGAATGAATTTATTATGAAATCGCTGTTTGAATATTTGTATTGATTTTGGAAGAAGCTGTGGAGCTGTGTATAATTCTTGATAAAAATATGAAGTATTTGCAGAAATATATCATATTAATAATATAATATCCTTAATGGTTACGGCAAAATTAATCGGTTGGATGCCCATAAGACCTCAGTTGTATGTTAAATATATGGATATGCGACAGGTTTTAAAGGGTTAATGTTTAGTAGAAGCGAATAGACGAGAAAAGAGATAAGGAGAGAGAGAGAGAGAGAGAGAGAGAGAGAGAGATGGACGAGAGAAAGGGAAAGAGAGAGGGAGGGAGAGAGAGAGAGAGAGAGAGAGAGAGGAGAGAGAGAGAGAGAGAGTGAGTGAGAGGGAGAGAGAGAGAGGGGGGGGGGGATGGTTATTACATGAAATAATTAATATGATAGTACAAGAGAATGCGCTCTTCATATAACGCTCGCCTACCCCACCCCCTTTTACCATTACGCAACCAGAATTATCATGTTATCCCCACACCCATGAGTGCAACTAGGTTACACATACCTTTCTCTATCTTCATAATTGTCTTAATCATTCCTTTTATATGATCTCATAATGTGAGTGTCTCAAAATATCTTCCGTCATGTATGAGCGCCGTCACATATTCATAATTAGGGACTTTAAGATTTGCACGTCGACATAGTGGACTGCTACGTGTTACGTAATTTTAATGCAATGTGACGTCCTTTTAAGGCACTGCCATTGCCTTATAAGGACGTCACACGTAGCAGTCCACTATGTCGACGTGCAAATCTAAAAGTCCCTATTATAGGCATGCAAGAACACCGTCGCAGAAAGCTGACGTACCAATATAAATAATGGTAGGGGAAGGGTGGAGGGGGGGGGGGAGGGGCACGACAAAATACCACACCCAAATCCGAGCTGCCAGTTCATATGATACCGCCATTGGATGATTCCTACAAATCGAATGAGCTCTGCAGTAATACATGTGTTCCTGTTTAATTTCACCACCAGCATGTCTTGTCTTGTACACACCGTTGACACAGTGAAATTAAAACATCGGATGAAAGCCCTGCATAATACAATAACTGTATAGGATTATGCAATAATTAAAAATTGTACATACACGTGAAATATCAAATTAAACACATACTTTTAAAAATAACACTATTTGAATCATACAATATTTACTATCAGTTATTAAAAAGAAAACAAACTGAATTATTACACTGTCTAACAATACCACGCCTAAAAAAAAAAAAAAAACACAAAAACACAAAAAATTAAATAGAAATACTAAAATAATTACAGAAGGAATAGATTACAGTTCTGTAGGCCTATTGCACTTTTGAAACTTTACTAAAAAGGTAAAAATAGTCATAGTAAATGCCGCGGCACTAATGTCCTTTGGCAAGACATTGATCTACATTTGCCACTCTCCACCCAGGTGTTAAAATGGGTACCCGGTAGGATGCGAAAGCTAATGTGGTTTGATTAGCAAGTGGCGCTTGTAAAATGGCGACTGGCTGGAATGCTCCCCAGGGAGTGGAGAATGTGCATACCTTGTGTGCGGCTAAACCTGGATCCGATGACCGGGGTAATAATATGTTCCGCGCCTAGAAACGTAGTATTAGGCGCATTATAAATGTGAGCTATTATTATTATTATTATAAAAGACGGGAATACTTTTTGAACAACTGTAATGATTTCCTTTACGCCATCTTACGATTTATAACACAGTTATATTGAATATTCATGATACCTTAATTGTACATTGCTTTGAATACGTTAAAACTCATGGATGGAATTCTTACTTTAAAATGGAAAAGCAACTTGTCAGATATACCCTCACTGCAAATCACACATTGATTTCTAACCCAATACGAACCTATAATGGTTACAATAAAGTTATTGTTAAATTTGCCTATAAACCAATAGCCTAATTCTTCAAATTTATAACGCTTAGAGACTTCGGTGGTAAGCGCTTTATAAGCACCGTTTTTATTTTTTATTAAGTGTTCCAAGATAATGTATTTTAATAACAAATATATGTACAATGTGTCAACATGAAATTATTTTCCCAAATGGTTATTAGGATACTTTTATATGTACCGAAAGATATACTCGAACCCCTCTTTGTACGTCTGGCTCTATACTGAAATAACGTTGAATCAGAAAAGTAGGGCACTTCTTGGCCAGGGTCATATTTTGACAGACCGAACCATGACAACTTATGACAAAAGGTGTTGGTTTTTGTTTAATACATCGGTACAGTCAGCATGCCTAGTTAGCCTAAGTTAGGCCAGGGAGATGTGAGTCTTTGGTTGGACAAACCGTCAGAGGAAACAGCGACTTATCCATCTTAATCACCTATACCCCATCCCTTTCTGTCTCCCGATGGCGGTTTTAATTTCTGAGCTGAATTATCCCGAAAGGAAATTAAAGACTGTGGTTGTGGTCTAATTAAAGCGAATCGAACCCATGTGACAACAAAAATAGGTGATCGAAGTATGAAAAACAGGATAGTCGGCGACAAGATGAATTAGGCTTTATTTTGATGGCTCCGTCGCCTGTTTGAAGTTCCTTCGTATACCAACTTAATTCCACATCGCCCTTCAGTTTTAATTTCCGATACTTGGGAAGCTGCGAGGACAATACCAACCACTTGTTAATATCCCAATACTAATAACCATTGGTATTAGTATTAAGGTTAAATGAGTTTAACAATAATATACATTAAGTACTGTCTACTGTCACCGTCTATTATAAATATATATATATATATATCTAAGAGTGAACATATCATTTTTCTAGGTTTATTATTGTTGTCTTTCTAATTATTACATTTTTCTCATAGTATATATTTTTATTAGAATGCAATTATTGCTGATTTTCACTGAATTTATCGCTTTTGTGGTTTATTTCGGTGAGGTTTTATAAATAATTGTCAACAAAATAGATATGAATCAATATGATATCGATTTATTTTGTTTCTTTCCGAAACAAATATTATAGGCCTGTTATACTTTTCTGTTATACATTTCCCGAACCCTCCTAACTTCTTAATTTATTTATTATTATTTATGGGATCCTTGTATGACATTTTGGAATGGACGACAAAGGTTCTTGAATGCGCAGATGTAGAAATGCCGTGATCAATTCGACTGGGATTAGAACCCGATTAAAACAGTTGGTTCAAGGTAAATGAGTAAAGCTTAGTATTCTAAACATCTTTCTATTCAATTAACAATGATCATGAAAATTAACCATGCATTCCTCTTTTTTTCTTCTTCTTCTTCTTCTTTCCGTCTTCTTCTTCGTTTCCTTTTCTGCTTCTTCTTCTTCTTCTTCTTCTTCTTCTTCTTATTCTTATCATTATTGTTATTGTTGTTCTCCTTCTTCTGATCATAATCATAGTAATCATTTTCTCTGTAATTTGTTTGTGTGTGGGTGGGATGCGTGTGTTGGGGGCTTACACAACGTGGAGAGAGGCTAAATAAGTTATTCATGCCTAAAGGGATCATGGTAAAACAAAATATTGGGGTTACACTCGAAACTGGACTACAAAGATCCTTCATTGCTCAGATGTAGAAATGCCGTGATCGCCTGGGGAGGAATTAGAACCCCATTAAAACAGTTGGTCTCAGGTAGATGAGTAAAGCCTATTAAGAGTAACGGTTAACTCAAAACGGACCAATTAGACGGGTTTAAAGCCCAATCCGTTGACTCACGGGGGAACTGTCATCAGAAATAGCACCAGACCCAACTGCATGGAGGGTGCACTGTGCGACCACACCCTTCGGGATTAGCGAGAGAGACGAGGATCGGGGGAGGGGGGGGGGGGTGGGATGGGAGGGGTGAGGAAGAGGAAAGAAGGGAAAGACAACGGAGAAAGTGAGGGATGGAGAGGCAAAGAGATGAAAGAAGGAAAACATGAAGGAGAAAGGGAGAGAGAGAGGGGGAGGGCAAAGGAGGGATAAAAGAAGGAAAACACGAAGGAGAAAGGGAGGGAGAGAGAGAGAGAGAGAGAGAGAGAGAGAGAGTGGGGAGGGAGGGAGAGGGCAAAGGGAGATATGAAAGAAGGAAAATAAAGGAGAAATGGAGAGAGAGAGAGAGAGAGAGAGAGAGAGAGAGAGAGAGAGAAAAGGGTGAACCATAAAAGAGGGTTAGGATTTAGAAGAGATATCGTATTTATAAGATTCATGAAAATGACATTCCTATTGGCTTCGAAGTAGCCCCCCTCTCGTTTTCCCTTGTAAGATGGTTAATCTATAGTCAAACAATCTGCGTACGATCAACGTTGACAATATTTAACTGAACATAAAGGAATAGAGAGGGGTAAGTGAGATAGGAGAGAGAGGGAAAGAGAGAGAGAGAGAGAGAGGGGGAGGGAGGGAGAGAAAGAGAGAGAGAGAGAGGGGGGAGAGAGGGGGAGGGAGGGAGAGAGAGATAGGGCCGGGGGGGGGGGGGAGAAACAGACATACACAGAAAACAAGAGCTTCGGTGGTAAGCGCTTTATAAGCATTATTATTATTTATTAGTAATCATCATGATCATCGTGATCATAGTTCATCGAAAGTCCATATTAACATGATGGACAGGTAGGGATTATGAGCGAATACATGATTTTATAGGCTTATAAATAGCACATTTACCACCAAGGTCAACTCAGTGGCATTGATTATTAGGAGAGTTTGGCCAACTTGGTGTCACTGGGTCACAACTCTGTGGATAGATGGCTTTGGGTTACCTACCATTATAACCCAATCTTTCTCTTTCTTTCTCACTCTCTCCCGTATTTTCACCTTATCTCTATCTCTCTCTTTTCTCTGTTTTATTATGTGTCTAATATATCTCTCTCTCTCTTTTCTATAACCCACCTCTCTCTCTCTCTCTCTCTCTTACTCTCTCCCTTTCCTCTCTTTCTCTCTCTCTCTTTCTCTGTCTCTCTGTCTCTCTGTCTCTCTCTGCCTCTCTCTCTCTCTCTCTCTCTCTCCCCCTCTCTCTCT